AGCTTACTCTATTTTAGGGCAACCCTATTCCTGACAGCTCTCTTCTCCTCATTCTCAACCTCTTTTTTTATTGATTACCCCTTTCCTCAATTTTGGAGTTTTGTTTAACATTCAAGTTTTTTTTTTCCCTGATTTTATCTAATTATTTCATTCTTTTTCCCTTTCGTCCTTTCAGTTAAGTAGTCACATGAAATCTTCCTTCCTCCCCTCCCCTTCAATTTACTTTGTTAATAAGTTTAAACTTTTAAATTGTTTGGTGTCTTTTTCTTAGAAGAATTTCATTCTCTTCATTGTTTATCTTCTCTTTATGCCTATTTTAGACTTCCATTCTTTCATTCGTGGCTCTTATATTTTTAATCCTTCTTTAGTTTTTATTCCTCATCAAATTAAAACTTCTAAGGTACCTATTTTGAGTTCCTTCCTCTAAACAGCTTCTATCTTATTGACCTATAGACTTTGCCCATAGGACCTTTTTCCCCTCTTTTCTGTTGTAGCTCACTTCTTAGAAATATTAACTCCTGTGAGAGATAGAAAGGACATTTCCCCATGATACACATTTTCCCATCTGTGATTGTGCAATTCATTATTAACCTTTACTCTCCTCATGGTCATTTCTCTCCATTTGCTTTGAAATGTTCTCTTCTGGGTGTCAGTTGCCCCTAAGAACTCTGATTTCCCTTATCCTGAGTGGTCCTCTAAACATGAAATCTGTGCAAATTATATTCATGATAAGGTCCCCATTTCCCTTTATAGAAACTTTCTCTTCTCCCATAGGAGCATTCATCAATGCTAATCCTTGCCACCACTAAAACACGATTTCTCCTTTTCTTTACCCCCTTTTCAATCTCTCCCTTTGCCCATTCTCCTGTAGGCTCTAACAACAAATATTAGCTAACAATAACATTTATATAGTATTTACTATGTGCCAGGCATTGTGCTAAGTGCTTTATACTTATCTCATTTGGTCTTCATGACAACTCTGGAGGTAGATGCTACTATTATTCCCACTTTATAGATGAGGAAACTGAGCAAACAGAGGTTAAATGACTTATACAGGGTCATACAATTAGTAAATGTCTGATACTGAATTTGAATTCAGGTCTTCTTGACTCCAAGCCTGATGCTGGGCTTTCTAGCTACTGTGTTCATGAGAAGCTAATAGTAGTTCTCCACTTTTCATTTGTTGCTCTGCCTGGCATAAGCTCATTACTTCCAATCACTTTAATATGCTGTTAACTAAAGCCTTAATTGAAAACTCCTCACTCAGATTTCTCTTTCCTTTAATTGGAGGACTGGAGATTGGAGGATCAAAGTCCACTCAATGCCTTTCTTTATAGAGGGCAGAATCCCAGCTCACTCCACTCTGCATCTGCTGCTCTGCCTAGTATCAACTCCACAGAGCAAGATATTCCCCTCTCTTTTCTGTTTCCTTTTGTGTGTTATCTTCTCTCATTAGACTATAAGATCCTTGAGAGCAAGATCTGTCTTTCTTTTTATTAATTATATACCCAACACTTAGAAAAATGCCTGATAGTTAATAGTGTTGGTACGTAATAAGTGTTGGATTGATTGGATTCCTTTCATTGTTAGCCTTTGACTTTGTTAGGGTACATCACATGTTCCTCTCTATCTTCTTCCTCCCTTTCTCCCTTTTATGTATCCTGTGATTCTGCATAAGTTGATAAAAATGGTGTTTTGGGATTGTTTCCTCCACAATCATTTCTATGTGACTTCCGCTTTCACCCTTGTTTCCTTGTGCACATTTAGAAAGAAATCTCTCAACGATTTCTGTCATTTCGTTGTCATTCTTGGTTGCTGTATTTGTTTTCTTTTCTTCTATATCTGTTGTTTGACGTATTTGAAATTGAATGATTACTTCAGCTCTGGTTTCAGGAATGTTTCACATGCCTCCTTTTATTGAATAGCCACCTTTTTTTTCATTAATAATTTAACTTGGGTTGCATCTTGAGTTCCTTTGCTCTTCAGAAAACATTATCCCATTCCCTACTGCAGTTTCTGGTGGGGCAAAGAATGTGTTGTCTGAGATTCTTTTCCTTTATCTTTGAAAGTCTTCTTCCTGGTGACTTTCAGGATTTGTTGTTTGTCAGTGGAATTTTTAGATTTAATCACTGTGCGTCTTGGAGTTTGCAGCATAGTTTGGTCTTTTTTTTTTCACTCAGAGATGATTTGTGGATTCTTTTGATTGGTTCTTGTTTTCTACATTCAGACATTCTGGGAAGTTTTCTTGTATTATTTCTTGCATTGTGATGTTCAGGTTTTTTAACTTGCCATTTTCTTCTGGAGACGTCTAATTCTTAAGTTGTCTCTATGCCTCTTGTTAAGATCCGTATGTTTTGCTTGTAATATGATCATGTTTAATTTCAGTGTTTTTGGTTTTTTTTGCTTATCTTCTTCCAGATTATCTTTCGCTTCAGAGTATCACATTCTCATATCTTTCTATCAGTCACCACTCCTCTTTGCTTTTTCAGTTCTTGGGGTGCTGCTCTGCTCACCCAGTCTGTGAAAGCTTTTGCCTTTTGCTATTCTATAGAAACTTGGGAGTGGGGAGATTAGAGAGAGAGTTGTAATATGTTGTAATCCTCTAGGTTGGCTAATGCAACTCCTCTGCTGGAGCATAGTGAGAAGTGGATGTTGAGTGGGTACATTAGAAGCTATTGATTACCTCTCTTTGCTACTAGATTGTGGAATTGTTACCTATTTGGATTCTTGGTATTGAAGGCCGTATTATTGTTGGTTAGTAATTTCAGTCATGTCTGACTCTTTGTGATCCCATTTGGGGTTTTCCTGGCAAAGATACTGGAGTGGTTTGCTATTTCCTTCTCCAGCTAATTTTACAGATGAGGAAACTGAGGCAAGCAAGGTCAAGTGACTTTCCCAGGGTCACACAGCTAGTAAGTGTCTGAGGTCAGATTTGAAATCAGGAAGATGAATTTTCCTGACTTCAGGCCCAGCACTCTATCCACTGGACCCCTAGCTGGCCTCTCCTACATCATGGAATCAGTTAAAATTGTATTACCTCTTCTATATAATTAATATTATAGAATATTTGAGAGGTTGAGAGGATAAGAGCTAATTTTTAATCTTCCATACTACATTATTCTTATTGACTTAACACAATTATTCTCCACTCCTCAGAAATCACAAGATGAAATGAATGTTTTCTAAAGTGCTAAAGAGCTCAAAGTATATCCCAAGGTGACCTACCCTGTGAAACTGAGCTAAAACATTAATGAAAAAAGATATATGTTCAGTAAAAAAAGCATTTGAAACATTGGTGGCTGTCAATTGTTTTATTTTGATTTGTTTTGTTTTTGAAACTGGATCTCCATATTTGTCCAGACTGGAAGTGTAATGGCCACTCACAGGCCCCAAATCAATACTGATCAGCATGAAGTTCAACTTGCTATTTTTCCAGCTTGCCTCATTAGGCAGCCTAGAGGTCCTTGGCTCCAAGGGACTTACCATATTGGTGCTAAGCTTAATGCTTTAGTCCTACTGCAGCTCAGAACTCTTGCAATTAAGCAATCCAATCCATCGGTCTATTTTTTCTGTTCCCTTGTCTGAAATCATAATTGCTATTCCTTTTTTGTGTGTGTGTTCGTATAAGGCATAATATAGTTTAGTCCCACCTCTTGGTGTTTATATTTCAAATGAGTTTCTTATAAATAACATGTTGTTGGATTTTGTTTTCTAATCCATTATGTTAACTTCTTCCATTTTATAAGTGAGTTCATCCCATTCACATTCACTGTTATGATTGTTGAATGGTATATTCCCTTCATCCCACTCTCTTTTACTTTCTTTTCTCTATCCTCTTCTTTCCCTATTCATTTCAGTCATTATCTTTCCATTTTCTTTTTAACCTTCTCTTCACTATCCCCTTTCCAAGCTTGTTTTGTTTTGCTTATGACCAATCCCTCATTGAATCTACCCTCCATCTTATTTACCTCTTTTCCTAATTTCTCTTTCTATCTATATCTCTGTTGAATGACATGTATTTTTACATCAAACTCT